TCCGCTTCCCTCTCATCCTCTTCTCAGTCACAGCCTCCACACTGTCCAGCTCCATCCCCACCACCGAGCTGGCCTTCCTCACCAGCTTTCTAAGCTTATTGGCACCCCCAGTGCCGATTTGCTGTTGTACACATCACTGTTTCTGCTTTAGAAACAATATTTAGTTAGATCTAAAATATTCAATTCACATCCAGTTCTGTATGGAACGGGAACCAGGCTGACATTGGAATTGTATATGTGCACACTTAAAGAATCAGAAGAGAATCAGAATCAGAATGTGTTAAAAATGTGTTAAATTAGTAGCTCAAACCATCCCAGATTCCAGTTTTATAATATTATATTGTCTTTTATTTATTCTCTCCACTACATTCCCCTGTGCTTCTGAGCCAATCCTAATTTCCCCTACAGGGGATCAATAAAGGAAAATCTTATTTTAGTTAATGTCACAGGAAAGTGCAAACTGCACATCACTGTATGAGCAGAAACTAGAACTGAAACAATTAATCAATTGGTAAATTGACAGAAAATGAATTGGCAACTATTCTGATAATCAATTTTAAAGGCACACTAAACCACAAACTGAAAAACAAGAAGGGTAAATGGTAAATGGACCTGTACTTGTATAGCGCCCTTCTAGTCTTCAGACCACTCAGAGCGCTTTTACACTACGTGTCACATTCACCCTTTCACACACATTCACTCAGTAATGGCAAAGCTCATCGAACAGAAACTAACGCATTCATTCACATTCACACACAAGAAGTTGATTTTGACAATGTTCCCAACAGCTGAATGTAGCCGAGGCTAACTAGTAAAGCTAACCAAGTTAGCAAACACAGACCTTGAGTTACAGCGGACACACTATGTCCCACTTCAGAAATCCCGTTGTTCTTTTCCATGTCGAGTTTAAGGTTAATGTAGGAATCAAAATCATCCACCACGATGTCTGTCATCTCTTCTCCAGTTTCACTCGTTCCAGCCGACGGCTTAGTCTGTGCTTCTTGCTCCATGAAGAATTGAAAAGAATAACTGAAAACGCAAACAATTTGAATGGGCTAGGCTAAAAGCCAGTGGCGCAACAACCTTTTGTCAAACAAACTCAGCACACACCCAGTTACTTTCAAAATGTTCCCGGTCTACAGAGCCGCAGCCAATCGAGAACACTACTACTACAGGATGTCCCGCCCTCTAACTGCATCCCAGCTCGGGTCGCCCCGTATGTATGTTTTTTATGTATGTTTGTATATATGTATCTTAATGGCTCCTGTAAATTTTCATATACTTACGAAGTACACTACTGTATATTTTAAGATAATGTAAATGTGTTAAGTCTAGGAATTTAACACAGGAACAATATAGAAGAATGGTAAATGGACCTGTACTTGTATAGCGCCTTTCTAGTCTTCCGACCACTCAAAGCACTTCTACACACATTCACACAGCGATGGCAAAGCCCATCGAACATAAACTAACGCATTCATACACATTCACACAACCAGGAGCAATTAGGGGTTTAGTATCTTGCTCAAGGATACTTGGCGACAGGCGACAGGAGCGGCATCGAACCAACAACCTTCCGATTAGAGGACGACCCGCTCTTCCTCTGAGCCACAGCCGCCCCTGAACACTGCAGTCTGTCGACTTTCTGGGAGGCAGTACCAGTGGGTGAATCTTGAAGCAATGTAAGAAAAGTAGTGTTCGATAAATACAAAATATGACATCAAATCTAAATCTGAAAGGATTCTGCTTATTGCAGAGGACCAAAGACATACATGTATTATATATCTATTTTATATTATTATAGTATATTGAGCAGCAGCAAAGACATCATATAATATCATACAAAAAGCGGACAGACTACAGTACTGTTTATAGCACTATGTTTATGTATAGGAGATATTAAGTCCACCCCCATTAACGTAGTAGAAGCACAACAGACACCACAAGAGTTAAGAGAAGCTCACACTTGCATATTGGGTCAAGTTAAAATAAAGTGGGAGAAAAAAGAAAAATCTTACAAAGAAGATGTTACATAATTATTAGGTATATTCCAAGCTCTGGGGGTGTGGGTTTGGGTGGAAAAGCAAGGACATATGGGACTCAAACATCCACTGAACCTGAAAAACTATTTTTTATTGTTACTATTTGTAACTACATGCTGTTGTTGAAATTCTGTTTATTTTTTAAAACATTAAAGCAATTATTCAAATACATACCTATGCTGTGCACTCTGCATACACTGTATATACATAGGTCATATCCACCTACCTCATGTACATAAAGAAACCTGCACATAAATATATATTTTAGTGTACTTTGCACTCTGCACCATTGCACAATTTTTCTAATGTCTACAAATATTAGTTTTTTTGTTGATATATGTCTATTTTGTAGAGCTTGTTGTTATGCTTATAGTCTGTGTTTGTACACTGAAAGCAACGTAAAACCAGAGTCAAATTCCTTTTATGTGTCCACATACCTGGCCAATAATGTGGCCAAATGTTACAGGCTATTGTGGATAAAATGATAAATCACCAGCTAATTACAAAAGCAGCTTTACAGTTCCTGTATGATTAGGATTATATACCAAAAATTGTGTTGTCGTCACTTAAATGTATGTCCTCTGGAGGGCAGTAATACGCCTTGTAGCGACCACACTGCCAAAATTCCACAAGAAGAAAAAGAAGAAGAAGAAGAAGAGGAGGAAGCAGTAGTAGCAGAGAATGTCTAATAACCCTTATTTTTTTTATTACATTAGAAGGGCTCTGGTAGTAGTAAATACAGGTCATATGACTGAGGATTTAAGATGTCAGTTTTAAAGGTTTTATGGTTTGATGAGAAATGTATATGGATAAATCATGTTAAACAAGTTGAAACAAAATGTAAAAGAAATACTAAATCTCATGAGGTCACTTCTGGTTATTCAATTCAATTCAATTTTATTTTTATTGCGCCAATTCATAACAAGTTATCTCAGGACACTTATTCAAACAGAGCAAAACGATCTAGACCGGAATCCATATAACATTTACAGAGACCCAACGGTTATGAATGGGGAGCAGATAAACAATCACTTTTGGATATTTATAGGGCATTAATATGATTATGTATTGATTATGGATGTATGGTATATGGAGCTGCAGCCAAGAGTGTTTCGGAAAAACTAGACATAATACAGTTCAGAGCTCTAAGACTCAGTATTGGTGCAATCAAAACAACTCCTACTAATGCATTACTGGTGGAAGCTAAGGAATTAGCATTAGAGTTAAGACGTTCAAAAGTGTCACTGGCATATTGGGTTAAGCTAAAGGGATCTGGAGAGGAACGACCTGCAACAGAGGTGCTGTGCGATTGTTGGGAACAAAGAAAATGTAAAGGATTTGGTTGGAACATTAATATAGTTGTAGAAGACTATGGGTAAAATAGGTTAGGGTATGGACCAAATACCGTGTGGGGTAATGTTCCTCCATGGATATTTCTAGTACCAAAAGTGAACTTAAAACTTATGGAGCAGAAGAGAGAAGGGGTTGAAAATAAGATGGATATTAGATATCTGGTGCAAGATTATGTAAAGAAGAATTATTAAAATTAACTGGGGTATACATACCTGAGTTTGATATCATAAGCAAAAGACTTACAGAGCTAGATTATCTGAATTTATAGCAGAAATAACTCCAAATAGGACTACAATGGATATAATCGGTATGGCCGGAGAGAGTTGTCATTTGCACACACTCTACTGCAGCTCTTAATAGTTGGAACTCAAAGGAAACAATAAGAGATGGTTTATTGATAGAAATTAATATGATCATGTTGAGGATACAAAGAGATGGAATTGATATACAGTTTTGTTTGGTTCCTGCATGAGGAGGGTAATGAGAAAGCAGATGAAATTGCCAAGAGATCATTGAAATTAAATGATGATGAACTAATGACAGTTACATTTAGAAAAGGCAAAGCCAAATCATTAATAAGGAAGGCAGTGACAGTTTTGTGGACACATGAGAAGAGGGACACAGATAGCAAAGGGCAACACTACTACAGTATTCAGAAATCAGTTACAATGAAGGTTTACAAAGGGAAGTGTAGAAGAGGGGAAGTGGTTTGGTCAAGATTAGGACTCGGACATACTGGATTAAAATCAACTCTTTATTTAATATCAAAGTGTACTTAAGATAAATGTGATGATTGTGATGTTCCTGAAAATGTTGAGCATGTCATTATGAGGTGTTGTAAATTTAATGCAAAGTGGTGTATTTCACATGATATATAAGTCAGGTCGGGCGTGGAGTTTGGAATGGATTCTTGGGATAAGCGGAAAAAGTAGGGAATGTTGTAAGGCTCTCTTTCATTTTCTTAAAGATACAGGATTAGTTTGTAAGATATATCTTATATATTTATTTTGTTTGTGGGATTATTATTTATTTTGTTTGTTTTGTTATTTGTATATTTTATTTACTTGTATATGGTACACACTCCGGTATAGTAGGGGGTGGTATGCACCTTTACAAGTTGGCCATTAAAATCAGAGTAGTAGTAGTAGTAGTAGTAGTAGTAGTAGTAGCAGCAGCAGCAGCAGAATAGCAGCAGGGTGGAAAACGGTGGACGCGGAGAGAAGTTTTTCGATTGGAGTTGGAGACCGGACTGT